TTTTACATCGCGGCTACGGACCATTTTGAGCAACAGCAGATCGAATTGGTGCATTATTGGTTGATGTTAAGTCATGATGTTCGTCGTCTGGGTGAATGCTATCCACTTGTGGTGGTGTGCGACCATGGGTGTCGACGGAGGTAGGTTTTCTGACAGAAGAAAATGCGCGAGAACTAGTTTTTTGGGTTGGTTTGTTGCTGATTTTAGTGATTTCGTGGTTAATGGTTGGTTAGAGGTTGTAGATGGGAGTGAGACGAGGTTAGGGATGATGGAGTCCGATGGTTTGGGTGACTGAAAAGTGGTGGAATGGGGCTCCATATGTGGTTGTTGAAAATGTGTGAAAATAAAGAAGAAAGGAGAATGTGAAATGAAAGAAGTTGGATAAATAATTTGATATAAATTGAAGGACAATTTTGTTATTTTATCATTAAAACATTTTAATTTTTTTTATTCTATTTCGATCAAATGCCATTTCTTAAAAATCATTCTTGGGTTATTTGGCCAAATTTCCCGCAGTAAATTGGGGTTTTAGAACGGAGGGTTCACTTTTCCGAAAATCATACGCATAAACTGAAAAGCAGTTTTCTTTACTTATTGACAGGGTTTTATTTCAACAATCTCGATCGTTCGTGTCTTTTGAATTGAGGGATTTTTCCCCACGAACGGCGGCGTGTAGAGATATGGTGGCGAAAAAGGGCGGAAACCGAGGAGGGGAAGATGCAGAGGAGGAACTGAAACGAGAGCCCTTACAGGCTATACTCTTGGCCGATAGCTTTGCCACGAAGTTCCGTCCCATCACCCTCGAACGCCCCAAAGTATGTTGCTTATTTATTTTTACGCACAACAATTGCTATCTGCATCTGGATTAATTTACAATAAGAATAATTGGTCATTTTCCACTTTATTACTGGTGTAATTTTAAACTCTCTGCAATTAAAATCTCTTAATGCCCCTGAAACATATCGATCCAATATATATTTTCGTTTTTCCCTCTGGTAACATAATTGCATGAGGTCGGCTTATTTTCAGGATTGCAATATTTATATGTTTGTGTAAATTATCCATGGGGTCTTTCGTTTTACTGCGTTACGTGTTGCTGGTTTAATGGGAAACTCAGAGGACTGAGGACAAGTGCAGGATGTTGTTTCGTGAATGCTTTTGTTACACGTGCACATACATGTATTAGGCCCTTCCTTGCAGTGTATTGTGTTGCGAAAATAATCTGAGAAAAATTACTTTTTTTCTAAAAATGAAAATATTGCCTTGTGTATATGGAACTTTATATATACGTACATTGAAATGCAGACATTTTTGGTTCTTAGTTGCTTTCACAACCTCACTTATGAACTTTACTGGTATTAATGTATTTTGTATTAATTGTTGATGATTTAATACTCATTAGACGTTTATGAATATTTTGTGGCATTGTTCTTGTGAATTTGTTGGTATGACCTATTGTAATTAGAAAGTAAAATTTTGATTTGGTTTTATATGTTGTGTATTTTATATCTTTTTTGTATGTAGGTACTATTACCACTGGTCAATGTACCCATGATAGACTATACCCTGGCATGGCTTGAGTCTGCTGGGGTCGAAGAAGTTTTTGTCTTTTGCTGTGCGCACTCCAAGCAAGTGATGGACTATCTAAAAAACTCCAAATGGTTTGCCCAACCAAACTTTGCGGTTTCGACAATCGAATCACACAACTCTATCAGTGCCGGAGATGCTTTGCGACTTATTTATGAAAGACATGTGGTATGTTGATGCTCTGCAACTTATAGCTCATTTCCTGATATTATAATGTCAATCTTTATACAGTTTTTTAAAATAACAAAATGCTTTTAGAAAATTAGCATCATTTCAACCTTGCCTGGAAAAAAAATTATATTCCTGTAACATAATTTGTATCAGCTTGGCCTGTATCTTTTTGTTTTTGGGTGGACTAGTATAATAGGAAACCCTACTCAGACATTTAAATTAACTTGATAAGTATCTTACCTTTCTTCTAAGTTATCGCCCCTTCTGATTTGGCTAAGAATCAGACTTCTAGTTTGATTTTGATAAAAGTTGAGTGGTTGACAAGTTGATAAAAGTTTTGGGTCTCATTTATGGCTGAAAATGAGTTTATGGAAAAATGAGTTTTAAAGAATTGGGGCCAAACCAGGTCATAGAATTTGGCCTCTTCAAGCCAACTTGAGTTTTCTTTGTCATCACATTAGAACTCAGTGAATGATGACATGCAATAATTCATCGCATAGCCTATGCTAAATAAACACAGTTTCAGTGTCATGAAGTTTGAACTTTTGAAGATAAACGTTGGCAGAGACAGGAAATGAAAGAGTTAGAATTTATTTTTATATAAAATGGTATGCCTAGCACGACATCAGATTATCAAGACTTAGTTCTAGTCATTTGGCATCATTGTAACTGCTTCAGTGAGAAAGCGTGGAATAATGACCATTCCTAGGATTTTGATATGGAAAGAAACCACGTCTATGCTCATGCTGTTTGTCATTACTATGAAAAAATGGAAAGTATCATAAGTTGATGTTACCTTTCTTCGCGTCATGCTCATAACTTATAAGGCTATCAGCTCTTTTATTGCAGATGTGCATTTCATTTTATATATGAGCTTCTTTTAAATGGTGATGCCCTTTTCTGTTAATTCTTACTATTTTTGCAATCTCGAAGCTAATGACAAGCTATCTTGGTATATACATTTTCACTTTGAAGATAAGTGGAGATTTCATCCTTGTTACTGGGGATACAGTGAGCAACATGCCACTTACACAGGCACTTAAAGAACATAAAGAGAGACGGAGAAAGGATAATAATGCTGTAATGACAATTGTCATTAAACAATCAAAGCCTTCATCAATCACTAACCAATCTCGTCTTGGAACGGAAGAACTCTTTATGGCAATTGATCCTGATAAAAAGCAGCTGCTGTACTATGAAGACAAGGCTGATGATCATAAAGGGACCATCTCGCTGGATAAGGCATTGCTTATGGATAATGCTTCTATATCTCTTCACAATGACAAGCAGGTTCTATTTCTTTTAAGATGCTTTGAGCTTGTGTTTTGACTTGGCATTTTTTTATGTCTGAAAATAAAAGAAAAACTATATGGTTTTTACACGTTACTACTTTTCTCTTTGGTTTTTGAGTATGTTTAATCAGCGACAGAGAATCAGTCAGTTGTGCAATAAAAGTCACTTATGTTGATCTGCTAGTAATGACAATATAATGTATCGGCATTGAATCTTTTAAATACTACTGACCTGGTAGAGCTCTTTTGCTCCACTACCTTACCTTCGTTCCCTATTCTGAAGCAGGGTGATTTAGCATTGACCTTTACAACAATTTCACCCCTGGAAAGCTTAAAATTTATTTTTTGTCACTCAAAATTTATGGGAATAACATTGCTTCGTCAAGAAAGTTTAGGATTTGAAGCAAAAAACAAGCAAAATTTGCCATTCCTAGCTTCCCATTTCTTAATCAAAACCACCCGTGACCTCTATTAGTGTTACGTAGAAATCCGCAAGCGTACGGGATCGTTTTACAAGTAATAAAAATAGTGAGTTTCGAATTTATCGTTCCCACAAGGAATAAAGTTTAAAATATAGTTCAATAGTTAGTATTAAATTCGAGTGAGTAGTGACAGCAAAAGAGTTATTTTGTGGTTGTTTATACTACCTCTAATTATATGAATTTGAGGTGGTAAATGAAGAAAAGGAAAATGAATACTTGGGGATAAGCTGTTTGGAATGATGTGTGGTCTAGTTGACAACAGGAGGAAATGTATGGCGACAAGTGAGAGAGAACCATAAGGTGAACAACTTTACTATGAGTTAGGTTCCTTGGATATTGAACTTTGTGATGTAACCCCTATTAGATCATGTTGCAGTTGTGAAATCTCTTAACTGATGTTGAAGCTGTGACCTTTTTATTTATATATGTTGCTATTATATTTTCTCCACTTTTATAATGTTGTTCACAGGACTGCTATATTGACATATGCTCTCCAGAAGTTCTTAGTCTTTTCACAGACAATTTTGACTATCAACATCTACGTCGTCACTTTGTCAAGGGGTTACTTCTTGATGATGTAAGTATCTATTATACATCTTTTAAGCTGTTTTCAGGATCTCTTTGTCCCTCTCCCTCTCCCTCTCCCCTCCCAACCCAATACACAAAAAAAGGAAAAAAAAAAAATGATGTTCAGCATTAATCCTTTTTTCCTACGTCTACATCCTAATCCGCTTGTGATGCAGTTATGTGCATACATGCATATGTATATATGTTTCTGCGGGATTTTCTTAGAAATTGTTTTGATACTTCCTGATCCTCTTTGGGGAATCTCGTGTCTGCTGCCACTGGGTCAGGAGAAAAAAAATTGTTTTGTCTGTGAGAAATATCTATTGATATCGCACAGAACTATGCAATCAACTTTCTAAGATTAAAAAAGCAAATTTCGTTGTTCATGTTGTGTATTTTCTTTCTTCACATCCTCGTTTCTATTAATGTTCCGATGATTTGACATTTCTCTCTAGCACACATAAACGCACTCACGGATACTAACGTACACAGCATTAATCTTCTATATCTGCTCGTTTTTACTCTCAGATTATGGGGTATAAAATTTTCACACATGAAATTCATTCAAGTTATGCGGCTAGGATTGATAACTATCGTAGCTATGACACCATCAGTAAGGATATAATACAGAGGTGGACATACCCATTGGTGCCTGATGTCCAGTTTTTTGGAAACTGTGCAACCAAGCTTGAAAGACGGGGAATGTACCGCGCATCAGGTGAACAGAAACTAAGCTGTGTAAAAATTTTCAGATGCTTGCATAGCTGTACTTGGTATTGTTGCTTGATAAACTTATCGAGATAATATTTCTTTCTTGGGTGTTGCAACTAAAGATATAATTTTTTTCTTTTATTTCAGTTGTGGTAATGCCATCTTATCCTGGAAACATAGTACTTGCACTATACCATAAAGTACACTTCCCTTAAAATAAATCTGTTTTCGAACTGTGGGTTAAAACCTTAAAGGTTGCCAAAAAGTAACCGGGCTCGGTGCATCTGGGCTGATTCTACAGACAAATTTGGTTTGGCATTTTAATTTGTGATATGTGCAGGTGGCTAACTTACATTTTGAACCTGAAAATTATATGAATAATTCTGCTGCAGATAATTTTCTTAATTATGAAAAATGTAAGAAATTGCATTTCCAGCGTCTCATCTTTTGGAAGCTCTGTTTCTTTTGATGGTGACATTCAGTGTGTTGCGTGCTTAAGGCGTGGTGCCCAACCTCACATTTAGAAATAATGCTAGTAACTCATGATTGGACCTATTCACTTTGTTACATTTTCCACTCACTACTGGATGGCTTCTTTTTATCTTGGTTTTTCAGAGGTTGGGTTATCGCGTTCTGCACAAATTGGTCCGTTTACTGTCATTGGAAATGGCACCTCCATTGGAAGCAACACTGAAATATCAGATTCAGTTGTTGGGGAAGATTGTGTTATTGGATCAAATGTTTCAATAGAGGGTTGTTATATATGGAACAATGTAACTGTCGAAGATGGATGCAAACTGAAGCATGCAATAGTATGTGATGGGGTGATTATGAAGTCTGGTGCAGTTTTAGAACCTGGTGCTGTTTTGTCTTTCAAGGTACTGTCGTATTCTTTGGTGACATTTATTTATTTCCTCCATTTCCACAGATATAGTTTGATCAAACTTTTGTTTGTTTACTTTCGAAAAGTTTTAACTTCTTTAGGAATAAATAGTTAAAATAAGCTTTGAGTGGGGTTTTCAACAGCAAAATATAAGTATCGTGGAGGATACAGATTCTATGTGATAATTCATTTCACATTTATTCTTATAAATTGTTTAGTTGACATAGAGTGAAAAGATTGGAAAAATACAATAAGTTTTTGTTTTTAATGAAACTCATTTTCAATTTGAAGGTTCTTCATATTGCAAGTAGTAATTATTATCCCATTTTGACATATAAATGAAGCGTTATTTCACATTTCATGTCACACACGACAACAATCAGCTATTTTCATTGATCTAAGAAGTATCTCAACTTATGGTCTTTTATTTTACTTGAGTTTCATAATACCTCCTGCTTCTATGCCATGTAGGTCGTAGTGGGACAACAATTTATTGTCCCTGCCTACTCAAAGGTGTCTTTACTTCAGCAACCTGTCAAACAAGATAGCGATGAGGAGCTTGAATATGCTGACAACAGCAGTGGCATCATAGGAATTCCATGTAACTTCTAACTCTGAATATCTTTTGTCATACATTAGAATGGAACTGAATCCTTATAGATGTTAAATCTAATAGTTGGGTTCAAGTTGCGAAGATGCCTATATTCAGTTTAATAACCTTTGTTTGACTTCCCAATGAATCTTTTATATCTAAAAATTAAAAAAAATATCACAGCTGAATCTACGTGTAATGATATAATTGTCAGAACTTTCACTTTTTACCAATGCAATTGCTCTAATGCATAAGCTTGCTGTATCCCATCCTCTAAAAAGGAAAACTTGGAATGACTTACTGATTTTGTTGGTCTTACTCAAGTATGAGAATCAGGTACCTTTATGGATCTAATTGTCATTCAAATGCATATTCGACTTTTTAATTTGATTGAAAAGAGACTTTGCTTTGGATATGGGTACACGGACAATATTCATAAATTCGTGTACTAACATTAGACGCTCTAATTACATCGCATGCAAATTTGACTGTTAGAAAGATGTAGTGGTGCATTTCAGAAAAAAGAGTATATGTAAATAATCATAAATCGTTGGTTTAGTGCCAAACGTCTGAGAGTCAATTCATACCCTAAAGTATACGTTTTTTTTTAGAAGTTTTATACAGTCCTTATTTTGATATGCAGCAATCTCAAGTATACCTGAAAAGTTGAATGATCAATTCAGCACCAAGTTGTCTGATTCACAACGACGGGCTGGATCTGAGGTCTGTTTTTATCTTTTCCATTTACATTTTCTCTCTTATTTCCTACATGACTGTGCCTTTGAAACCATTTTCTTTCTTTTCTTTGATAGCCCGTGTATTTCTTATTCATTTTTTCTAAGTTTTCTTAACCAGCAAAGAAATTTAATGATTTGACATTGGGGAAACTGCTGCCTACAATATATAAAAGATATATTTTTCTGAAGAATTCACCACAATATAACCTGGTCCGTGCATAATCATAAAAACGTAATCCAAAATTTTGACCCGCTACTTAGCATTGGCAGTAGATCTAAAAAAGGATCTAAAAATATGAATTTCTAGATATTTTTGTCCGGTCGACGTAAGGAATCAGTAGCCATTAAGAGAGTGCAAATAGTTGATGAAGCATCTTGTTCTTCTCCTATTTTTTACACTTGTGACTTGTGAGGACTGGTAGTCAAAGTTGATTTTTAGTATAATTATTTTAGGAGCCCATTACATTGTCGAGCAAATTTCTCCAACTTCAACTACTCAAATTTATTGAGGATAGAGCTTACTTTGTTGTTGGTTATAATATCGTACCGTCTCCTAATCAGTAATTTATGTACCAGGTTGGCGACGGTGGTGTTGGTTTCATATGGTCACTTGGTGAAGGAGGGCATGAAGAAGAATGGAGACATTCAGTTGCACCAATACCTGCAGATAGACTCGTTGAGATTATTAAAACCGCAACTGATGCACTGGAGATATCAAATCAAGATGGCAATTTTCTTCCACCTTCAGGAGAGCTGGAACCTGATTCTGTTGATAATGATTCCGATGAGGATGCAAGGGATGATTATTCCTATTTTGAGAAAGAGGTACACGCTGATAATTATTCTTCCTGTACACGCACACGGTATTTGAAATCTCATTCTGGTTATAATTCTTCATACAGGTTGAAGCAACTTTTCTGAGGGCTGTTCATGAAAATGTTAAAGAAGACCATATAATTTTAGAAGTAAACTCACTGAGGTGTGCTATTTACTTCCCTAGCTAGTTTCTTTTGATCTTATTCTACATTAGAGAAATTTCATGTCATGTATGGGGGAATATATTGAGTCCACAATGGCCGTAGAGTTAACCTGAATGTGCCATAAAGAAATGCCAATGGAATAAAAATATGATAGAGCAAGTGATGAAGTTGACTAAGTAGCCAAATTACTAATGCTTTCTATCTATAATTTAAATTGTCTTATTTAGGGCCATGTAATGTTATTAGCAATATTTTTCTTCACTTCGACAAATTGCCTGTAAATTCTCTTCATGTACTGCAGCCTTTACTGTCAACTTTCATCAAATCACTCCTCTATATGCTTTCATCAACATATTTTAAAATACACGTCGACCCTTTTTTCTATTAGAAGAGTGAGATACTATCAATCAGCTAGCTGACAGGCATTCAGATGAACATGTTCATACCCGTATTCAATGCTCGTCACTTTTTGCAACATTGTACATAACTAATGATAAGAATGATATATTCAAACAGGTATTGTTCGCTCAAAACATTGTATCATCTCACTCAAATCTTTCATGCCTCAGGTTGTCTTACAATCTGACATCTACTGACTGTGCCGGTGCATTATTCTATTCGATGATGAAATTGGCTTCGGATACTCCTCATGATACACCCGGCAAGTTTCTAATCATGATAGTTGTTTCTTTCTTTGTTTTTGACATGTATTAGCTAAAAGATCACGCTCTTATGTTTTACCTTGTTAGAGGCTCTGTGAAGGACTATAAATACTCTTTTTATCACGTACTGTAATGCAGACCAAAATATGGCTATAATGACAGTAGTTGATAAAGAGGCAATTATTAGAGGCTTTGTGAAAGACTATAAATACTCTCTATCATGTACTCTAATGCAGACCAAGATATGGTTATAATGACAGTAATTTATAAAGAGGCAATTATTTTACCTGGGCATTTAAATTATTCTAGTACTCTGGCAGATAGAGTGGATATGAGAATATTGTGCATCTCAGTGTGGAAGGTTATAGCTTTTCTTTAATACCTGGAAGCGGAACACGATTAATTACTCCTGCTTATTAGTGATATCTGCTCTGCTGCAATTTCTCACAAGGCAGTGCTTGATGTCATTCAGTTGTATATGAACTCTTCTGAAGAAGGCGCTTTGTTAAAAAATTCGAATAAATTTGATAATGTGAGAGTCCCCGATGCTAATTAGTTTATGGGTGTCTGTAAGCTTTACCTAAGCATTCAAATCATATGTGCATTAAGGACTTGAATGCTTTCTTGCAGGTGAATTGGTTAAAAACGTTGCGACTGTGATTACAAAGTGGAAAAAACTTTTAAAGGATTACTTGACTAGCATAGATGAAGAGGTAGGTATCTGGCCATATTGAATATTTTGCTGGCATGTCATGTTCACTCATTTATTTAGTCAGCTTCTTGGAACTCAATTTATTCTTACTGCATTATGCATCTCAGGCACTATTGCAAGCTGCTCGCATCTTATCTACACTACCATTTGCTTTATCTAGGTTAGGTGCGTTTATTTACTGAAATTTGCCAGAAAGTAGCAAGGAGTGAAATATGCAGCAATGCAAGACATAAAGGCTTTTGCTTGGAAGTCATTATGTGTAATGATTGGAGCCTCGTGTCCAAATCGTTATATCATACATGCTGTCCACATTGAAAAACCATCTACCCTTCTTCCCCTCGCGGCTTTCTGTCGTGTCCTCTAAGATTTGAACTTAAGACCTCTGCCTTACGAGAGATGCCCTTCTAAAGTAGACAGTACGTATTATATCAAAGTTTGAGTACGAACGATCTGAGTGTCATCAGGATTCAATTTAAGTTTCATTCTGTAGCACGAACACTTCAACTAGGGTAGCGTGTCCATGTCCGACACGTGTTACCGACATTCCTTGAACACTCTATCATGATAATTTTTTTCTTTATCAGAAGCATTACATATTTTTAACTCAAAATTATTATTAAATAACAAATAGGTACTCTATTTAATATATTTTGACGAAAAAATTAATAAGTATAAAATTTATGTTATATAAATAAAGAATTTAATCAATACGTCGATGGCGTGACATGTCATACTTTTTTGAACAATTACGTCGGATACGTCTTGCCGGAAACATGTGTACGTGCCGGTGCTTCATAGGTCTCTAATAAGGCAAATATTTTGGTTTCGAATCTTGGAGGACGTGATGGAATCTTGTGATGGGTAAAAGGGCAGATGTACTCCCAAAGTGGACAATACATATGATATAATGGTTTAGGCACATGTTCGGGTTGTTGCAAAAAACGCCACTCAATTGGTACCAGTATTCAACTTATGTTTCTCACAAAATAGAGAATTTGGGTTCGAATCCTAGATATAATAGAAATCCGTGATGGGTTAGAGGGCAGATGCTCTCCTAAAACGGACAATATATATGATATAACGATTTGAATATAGGCTCGGCTCATAATATTATGAATCCTCCCAAGTTTAGAGCCTATGCTATTAGTTTGTGTGCTCTCACTGCACTTGCAAAATAGTCCTTTTTCAGTGGGTTTACACTTTTTACTCAAATCTTTATGTCTTGAATGTGTAAATTTGGCCTGGTGCGGCCCACCTTTGGAATAGCTTGGTGTGGGCCACCTATGGGCCCGGAAGATGGTATACTCTCACTTCTGAAACTACCGACCTTGAATTCCTTAAATATGTCATAATTTTCTTTCGGTATGTGTCTGTTCAAACTTATCGAACTTCTGATCTTCAAAGCTTTGGTTCACTTGATATGTGTGTATTCAATTTCTTTTTAAGTAATCAAACTAAGTTTCTTCAGTTCTAAGCCCAAAATCTTATTTTTGATCAAAATTGCATCAAGAATTTGCCTGCCAATTTTGATTCTTGATCGAAAACTCTATATATAGTCTTGATGGTACTAAATTATAGAATCATTATTTTATTCGCAGTTTGTTAATTATATTCTTCTCTCATTGCAGATTGAAGTGATTTTGAAATTTGAAGAAATGTGCTTAGAGTCCACCAAGGAATACACTCCATTATTTGTGCAGGTAAGTTGTTTTGTTGGATAGGGGATATTTTTCAAAGTTTTACTATCTATGTTTGTGAGGTGAGTTAATGTTTACTACTGCTATTGAATAATTGTCACATTTATGTGTAATTAGTAGCTCGAACATCAAAGTGCTGATGTTTTGGTCGATTAAAATCTTCGCCCTCTGGATAAATGAACGAAAAACGAACATATGGACCAGAAGAAAGAATGGGATATGAGCAATATATATACGATGAGGAAATTTTGCATATAAAAATAAAATTTCTTCTTAGTATTGTATGTTCATGTGTGGGTTGTGAGTTTTTCTGTATGTAATACTTCTAGTAGTCTGCCATCGTGTTTAGTAGAGGAGCATATTTTGTAAAGCTTAAAAAGTGATATTGTAAATAAATAGGTTTCGCAATGAATTATTTTTTTATTGGTCAGTTTGATACTTCTAAGTTGCTTATTTTGACAGAGTTACTTTTCTCTTTTAAGCAGTACCATAACGAGACAAGCTCTTAGTCTAGTTTTCATGGTCCTGTGCTTGGATAAGTGATACTATATGTAAAGCTATGGTATAAACTATATCTACATTAGATAATGGTCCTGATAGCTAGGAGTCGATTACTTGACTTAGTCAATTTGAGAGGTTAAGGGCCTGTTTGGCATGTCTATTGAAAATCTAGAAGACACTTTTAAGACTAAGAAACTGCTTTTGGACCTGTTTGGATAATTTTTTGATAGTGCTTTGTTTGATTCGAAGAGATTTTAGAGGAAGATGGCATAAATTGGCTTATTGTGAAAGCTCTTCTACAAAAATCAAAAAGCAAAGCTAAAATATGAGCTATCCCAAACAGGCCCTAAACTCTTGTTTGCTTATTTTCTTATTCCTTGTGCACTATTAACATATTCGTGTTTGTTTCTTTTTTCTTTTTATATGTTTTACAGGTTTTGCATCTTCTATACAACGAAGATGTTATACAAGAGAAATCTATACTTGATTGGGCATCTGAAAAGGAAGAGGCAGAGGAGTCGGATAAATTATTTCTCAAGCAAGCAGAAAAATTTATCCAGGTATGCATTAATATGCTCAAGTGATGCAAGGGGGTCAGGGCATGAAATATCATGATGATCTTCGTAGCTAACATTTGGGGAATTTCTTGAGGTTGATTATTGAAGTCTTTGAGCTTGTTTTGGCTAAGTTTAAAAAGTCCACTTGTAACTTATTTTCAATATAATCAGCTTTTTTCCCTTAGAAGTATAAGAGGAGTAATTTACCAAATGTGTGTTAACGAGAAGTTGCTTAAAACTCACCTTTACTTTTTGTTAAGCTTAGCCAAACATTCTCATTGCCTCCTTGTACTCGTTTTCAACTGTAAACATGACATTTGGTGCAGTGGTTGAATGAGGCCTCAGAAGAAGAAGATTGAGGCTAATCGAGTTACTACAGTCTCAGCTTGTCGACAAATTTCATGGTTATGGAAATGCTATCAATTGTATAATCATTCAAGATGCTGCAACTTCAGCTGAATAGTCCGTCTTTTCTTGGAATCAACTTTGGGGCAACACTCTCTCCTCTCCTACATTTCACTATTTTAGTATTCTGATTGGGAGCATGTGTGATTTCTGTTGTCCAATTGTTTCTGTTGTCCAATTGTTAACTTCAGATTCAATTTCGCATGTCACCTAATGGACAAATTTCGTCCGTTGCCTCAAGTAACAGTGGGGGCGAATAAAATTTCCAAGTTCAAGATTTTTCTAGGATTAATTGGTTATGCACATATTTTTTTGGCTTGTGTAATGTACGGTCTTTGTAGGTTTCTGTTTTTAAGAATCTAAGCAAATTAAAGTTTTTGAGGAAAATACATGTACAGTACCAGTAAAGCTTATTAGTCCAATGTCTAAGCGCAAAACCCAGTTGGCCTACATCATCATTGATGATTATGGATTTTCGTTTTCGGGAGGGCATCACGATCTGATGTCCAATAAATCGTTTGAGAGAAACATCATCTTGATGAATAGGAGGCCTTATATTCAGGACTTAAAACTTTCCTTTACAACGGTGGGGTTCACGTAGGGCCCGTCTTGGAATAAGATACTATTTGGTGGGGAATGAAATTAGATTTTTAGTAGATCTTGATAAAAATTCGTGAGTAAGATGGTTTCATGCTCAAGCAGATTTTTAGAAGTTAAAATCTTGGTACCAAGCTTTTATGTTCAAGCCGTTGTCTAGATACTAATTTAGCAAGTTGTCAAATTGGTACAAGGATTTTAACTTAAGTCATTCTTAAGGAAATGTCAAGAGTTTGAATTTTGGGGAAGCGATAGAAATTCGTGAGGAATAAGATGATTTTATGCTCTCTTAGAACGCACAGTACGTAAGTTAATGATTTTGACATATAAGTTGGATACAAAATACATGATTAAAAATTTATGAGTGTCATGGTTAAAATTAATTATTGATTTTAACTTAAATTAAAATCTAAATTTTAATTCATAAGTGATTAAATATAATATTTTGGGCAAAAAATAATATTTGATATGAAGTTTATATTTTTTTATTGCTATGTAAAATTAATTGTAAATATAACTAAATTTTTTATTTCGGAAATTACGTGTGAGTAAATTTGTTTTTTTAGTATCAAAATATCTACAAGAGCATTAGTTAAAATATATAAGTCAAAATATGTAGATTTAAATAAATAACTGTGAACAAATATCATAAACTCCCCACCTGAGGTCATCAATTACTACAAAGGCACCCTCTCTTAATTATTAAAGAAAAAATTTGTGACTTTTAATTATGAATTGAGATCTTGAAAACACTTAATCCCTGTAATTTTCACTCTTTATAATTCAAGTATTACTTTGTGATATGGTTAATATTTTGGAAAATACTATATACCCATTTAGATTCCATATATGCTTTGTAATTGACATTAATTTTAATTACCTTTGTATTAAGCTAATTATTTATTACCGTTTCTAAACCATCTCAGAATTTAAAAAAACTTCTTTGGCCAAACCATAACACATGCTTTTTGGGAAAAAAACAAACGATAACCATTTTTTTGATTTTTTTTTTCTCTGAATCCATCTAGCATGTATGTTCCCTTATTGCATGAACACACAATTTTCTGTTTTACGACTCAATAATTTTCTGATCCACGACTCAGTAATTCATCCAGATACACATAATTCGCAAAAATATATGTTCATGCGCCATTTATTATGACTTATAAAATTTCGGTAAGTGGCGTGTTTGATGGCATATATATAGCTCACAATTGATTATTCAGTATGAGTGAGGTAATTTACATGTTTTTTTAACTATATTTTTAATAGTATATCTTGAGTAAAATTAATGACAAAGTAATTCCTAAAATTATGTAAAATACAAGTTTAGGAGTGTAATTTCCTCTTTTTTGAGGCTGTTTAGATCTCGAGGCCTAAGGCAATGACCTAGTTTGCATTGGACCATGGTTGGGCATGAGTACAATGTCGAATGCAATTGTTAGAGTTTTAGCGGCTCATAAGGTTTTGGGTACGACCATTTGTTTAGCCAGCCATTCACACATAGACATGCAGTGCTATACTTTGTGTAGCCACACGGTGGTGTCAAAATTAGAACCCTGTTTGACAACTATGATTTTCAAACTTTTTTTTTCTACATGCTCATTTTCAACTATACATTAATACAATAAAATATTTTACACGTAAATTCAATTTTTTAAAAACTTTTTAACAACGCATTCTCTTAACAATCACTATTCAAAACTCTACTTTCCCCAGGTAATGATCGCCAAAACTCTATTTGTCAAATGCATATTATTTTTTTTCGAGTTAACTTCTTGGTGGCCAATGATGTTATAGAAATTGATTGCCATTTTATTCATTAAGAAACTATAAATAATTGTTAATTCTTTATTTATTATTCAATTTGATAGAATTTTGAGAAAAAAACTTGTCACAAAAGTGAATATATTTGTTTTTTTCTTGTTTTCAAGTGAGGTGAAAGTCAGAAATAGGAAAATTAACACGTCCAAACATGTTTGGAAACAAATAAGATGATAGTTAAAGGTCATTTTTACGTTGTTTTACCTTATTCAGCATGTTCTTAGATGGGATATAATTATACGTTGGTTCTTCCCCCTTTATACTTTTTTCTTTCATATTTTTAATTTAGATGGGAGTTGTGCTTTTAGTTAGAGGAAATAAAATAATATTGTTTCTAAGTAGAACATTTGGATGTTAGCCTTGTTCTTTATATTGTTTTCAAAAATATTTGGATCAAAATTTTATTTTTTGTCAATCATAAATATTTTTTATAATTTTAATTAAATTTGTTTCAAATAAAAAAAAATTTCATATTAAAATAATTTTGACTATAAAATTTATTTTTACTGAAAAACGGAATGCTTCCATATAAATCAAAAACATGAAAAGAAAAGGGAAAAAGAAAAAGGAAAAGAGAAAAAAAAATTAATAACAATTTTAAATGTAAAATATAACAAAAAAAATGATAAAATTGGAATTAAATAGATATTTTGGTTTATTGGAGGAATATGTTATATGAAATAAACACGGAGAGTTTTCTGTAATTTTTTGAAAGAGAGAAGCTATCTCTATCATAGTTAGGGGTGGACATGAGTTGAGTTATGTCGATTTTTTTCCTCAATCCAAATCTAACCGAACATGATCAGTTTGATCATAATTTAACCCAACTTAACTCTTGTAAATGTTGAAACCCAACTCAATTAAGTATCTGACGAGTAGGGTTGACTTGAGTTGGACGGATTTATAATTGACTCATGACTTATATAATATTAGGTCTCTATAGTTGTAATGACCAAAAAATCTGAATTATTTTGGCACTTCATGTCAGAAAATGTTACATGGACGGATTGAAATTAAATTATATGAAGCTAGTAAATGTTTTTGGCAATTAAAATACTTTTTTGTTGAATGTGTATTTGCTTATACTATTTTTCATAAAATGCATTCTATCCAAATCTTATAATATTATTCTAAGAGTTTCTATGTCTTGTGCCATATTCAAGACTTCTCGTATACCGCGTTTACGTATATAGAACCTAGTTAATTAGTAGTATATAATTTGTATATGGTTTCCTCAAACTTTTCAACTTTGCACAAAATTATCCTAAAAACTAACATTTTAATCTAGGTTTTTTTGAATATTGTGGCTCTTGGAGGTTGTGTGAAGAAACAGTGACTCAATTTCGTCCAAGGAGCATCGTAACACTTGTAAAGTTTATAAATATAGTTGGGTTGGGTTGGACGAGTTTATTCGATTTTCATGAGTTAATCCATAACTTGACCCAACCCAACCTGTCTACACAACAATCCATTCAACCCGTGTAAAAAAAAAAACAAAACAATCAACTCAAACCGGTCGAGTTGATTCGATTTTGACGATTTTGGCGGGTTTAGTCGGGTTTTGCTCACCCCTAGTCATAGTCAGTAACCTGAGGAGTGTATTTAATAATTACTCAATAGATTTTAATTTTTAATAAGGGTGCATTTGATTGCGAGTATGAAATTTATATGAAAAGAAAATAAATTTTATGCAATTCAATTACTGGAACTAATTTGTATTGAAATTATTAATTAAATGTGTTTGATTGATTTCGTTTTCAATTTAGAAAATATTATATTTGTCCATTTTTTATTGGTGAGTAGATGAAAGATAGATGTAGAGTGAATTACTTGGAAAATAAAAATCATTTCTTTCTAAAGAAAATGTTTTCCCAGTTTTTTAGGAAAATATAGTCACATGACCAAAAGATGGAAAATATTTTTCATGAAAAAAATTGTTAATCAAATATCCAAAAAGTAAGAATTTGGGTGAAAAGAATGACATTTTCATGGAAAATAAAGCCAATCAAACACACTCTAATTAAAATTTGTGAATTAAATTCTCTATTTACAAAATTTAGGGTAATTGTAGCGAATGTCTCATATTTTTAAAAATATATAGATTGCATCCAAACTTTTAAATTAAAGCAATGGAGTTCCAAATATTTAAAAATTATGCCAGAATGACCTCTAGATGATTTTCATCCAAAAATCAGTGTTTGACCACAATTTGATCAATTTTAAAAATGGTAAAATAATCTTTAAATTTTAATTAAAAAGAAAAAAAATTGCATAGAGTATTCCCAACCTTTTAAAAATGTGCAACATGACCTAAGTCTATAATAAATGTGCGTTGAAAGGATCTCACTGATTTTCATCTAAAAATTTGTTAGTTGACAATAAATATTCATTTTCTTATATTCACCCAACCAACGCGTAACACCAAATCCCACCCATTAGTGCTATTGTTGTTTTTAAAGAGAATCTATCTACTTTGTTTATTTATTCGAAGTACTTTAAAGTTTATAGTAATAAGGAAATGAAGACGATGAGATTGAAATGGGGTCGATAGAGATGGAGGAAATGAGGCAACAATATTGAATTATGTTGTTGTGTTGCAGCTCAAGCGACGGTGGCTGTTGCGAGGCTCACTAGCTAAGGTTGAGGAGGTTTGCTTCAGGTGCGTGTTAAGGATTTTGGTTGGATAATACAAGAAAAGTAAATATTTTTGGTCAACTAACAAATTTTAGGATGAAAACAGTTAGATGTCACTCCGACACTCATTTATTAAAGCTTTCTAACCGCACTACATATTTTTGAAAAAGTTTGGATGCTCCGATGCAAATTTTCTTTTCTAATTAATTAAAAGTTAAAAAGTCCATTTCGCCATTTTTAAAATCGATCAAATTATACACAAATGTTGAATTTGGTCAACTAACTTATTTTGGATGACTTAAAGGTTAGCCACATCCATTGCTATGATTTAGAGTGTGTATTTTTGGATGGAAACCGTTTTAAAGATCCTCCATCGCACAGTTTGAAAGATTTGGCACATCCATTGATATGATTTAAAGATTTGGGTGTGATCTGCATATTTTTGAAAAGTTTGGGACCTCCAATGCATTATTCATAAAATATGAGCCACAGGTCCACTATGGCCCAAATCTGTTCGGGACGTACAACGAATCAAGCAATATGTACAAATCTCAAATCAATCCCCTTCCTCTCCCTTACCTCCAGACGGTAACCCAATGATTTACGCATACACTTCTGTTTCTCTCTCTTGGAAAACTGCTCAACTTCTCTCCCAAATCATCCCCTCTAATGGGTTCTCTTCGTATTCAGCAACCAGAAAATATAGAGAATGAAATAATTTTACAGGGCTTATTTATGTACTACTTAGTATTTGCTGTACAGACTTACAGAACTATAGCTTGATGGATAGACACGTCTATATGGGGACAATAAGATCGTCTGAGCCCTTTGTAAAATACATGCAAGCCCGGCTCTCGGAAATAGTGAGTCAACTCTTAGTCTTCATTATAAATTTAAGTTCAATTCATATATTTTCTGGGCAACTCTGATTTCTTTACAGTTCAATTTCATGCAGGCTTCTTGTTTTGATTTCTTGATTTAGCGTACATTTTGGCCCTTTAGAACTCTACGTTCGTAGTTCTTGCAGTGAAGTATTATTGGCTGCTATTTTTTCGAAATTTTGGTATTTACCGTGTTTGTTAGCAAATATGGCATCATATCAAGGGAACACTCAATCGGAACCCGCAAAAATGGAACAAATAATAACTGAATTTTTTGCGAAGAGTCTTCATATAATACTTGAATCGCGGTGCCCTTATGTTTCATCGCGGAATTATGGCAGTGAGCAAGTTTTGTCATCCCCATCCCCACCCTCGTCATCATGTTCTTCTTCGAGTTTTGGGCCGAGGGATAAGTGGTTTAATTTAGCACTTAGGGACTGCCCTGCTGCACTGGCTAACATAGATTTTTGGCGACAGAGTAATCTTGAACCCATGATTGTTGACGTGATTCTAGTGCAAAGGTCAGGCAATTGGGACCCTGTGAATTATTTTCCCAAAAGAGGGCTTGCAAGGAATTTTTCAGGCGAAGAGGGTTCCTATTGCAGTTCTGAAAATGATGAATTTGGGTGCGAGATTCAGAGCGAAAAGATTATTGAGAGGTGGGTTTTACAGTACGAGAGTAAGCAAAGCGGTGACCATCGTGGTGGTGTGATGGGGAATAAGAGAGCAGCTCGTACTAGTTCACATGCACTGCATAAGAAGTCAACACTGTTGTTGAGGTCTTTGTACACGACTGTTAGACTTTTGCCGGCTTATAAGGTTTTTCGTGATCTCATTTCGTCAGCCCAAATTCGGGCATACAATCTTGGTCACCGGGTATCATCATTTGTTGAGCCGTTCACACGTAGAGAAGAGGCAGATATGCAACACTTTGTGTTCTCTCCAGTTGACACTTCTTGCGGCAGGCTTTGCCTCTCAGTGTTGTATTGCTCATCAGTATTGGATATCAGTTCTGAACCCTCCACCCCAATTTCTCCACAAGTCATTCATGAATATGTTGGGAGTCCAATGGCAGAACCACATAAGAGGTTCATATCAGTTCCTGTCTCTCAAAGCTCCCCATCTTCGTCTCCATTTGGGAGATGTCATAGCTGGAGTTATGATATATATAAAGTATCACCATCTTCAGTAAACCCCTCACCTTCACCCACATACTCTGAATCTCGTGCTTCAATGCCAAAACAACTATCACATCGGTTTCCTCCAGCAAGTTTACCTTGTCATATGCCTGACAAAACACCTCCAGTTCATATGAAAGATCCAAATTTTCATGAGTATTCGTCTTCCCCGACCTTTTCACCATCACCATCTCCATCTCCATCCCCATCTCCATCACCACCTGCCTACATTCCTGATAGTCATATATTAAAGGCTCTTTTACGGTCTGAAAGTGCTCCTGTTGGAATACCTGTATCTAGGCTTTCTACTCTTCCTAAAATGCCCAAAAACCAATTGTTGGCTCTGTCTCCTTCTATGGGAACCAGTGGATGCAGGGTTTCTAAGACAGATGGATGTTCAGGTCTATATCAGACCGGTTCTATGGTTGACAAGGTATTCTTCTTTCTCATCTTAGAAAATATATTTTTTTCCCCTGCTAATTAGTTTTACTGCTACTGCTTTCATAGTTGTTCGCTTCCGCGAAAGATGAAGCTGGAAAATTATCTGGGGTTAAGCAATCATCAAACTGCTTATCAACGAAATCATTCTCCAGAAGCCCCAGTGGGTTTTCTTTTCAGGTTCATTTTCACAATTCTGAATTTTCTGGTCTATTCATTCCGGATGATGATTACCTAACCGAACCAAGTACCAGGTAATCACTTGACATTCTAGATGGGACTTTTTTATTAATGTATGGGGTTTATTTCACAAACGGTCACTGAAGTTACGTCAAAATCACAAAACAGTCACTGAAGTTTAAAACTGATGGGACTATTTTATTAATGTATGTGCAATATATGTGGCATTAGCTGGTATACAGATTAGTACACTTATTTTATATATACATGGAATCTAAGATTTATTATTATAACCAAATCGAAATTAGCAACTCTGTAAGTTTGGAAATATGCTATGTCTACTGAACTGAAAAATTTCTGAGTGGTCCAGGGCAAGGGATTGCATAAGTGAAGGGAAAAAAAAACGTTTTATAAATACGTGTATTCATATTAATTGAGTGCTGATGTGTTTCAATCAACTATTGGATGCTTGCCAAAGTATTGATGAACTTGGAGAAGGCAATTTAGTAGTGCTTAAAGAGAAGCACATGATCTACGTTATCTTTGATGTGCTCTTAAACATTTGAATAACTTCATAATCTCTTGACGATGACACATCATAAGGGTGCTCAAAAATGTTTTGAATTTTAGTTTGTTTTTATTCACACTGGTGAAAGCCATTTACGGGTAGTGACATTAAGATGTGTTACTTGAAGGAATATATGAATGATTTTGCAAAGTTACGAGCACTTGGATGCATTGCAAATCAATTGATTAGAGAATACTTCCAAGACATTATTGTTAAATAATAGTGTAGTTGGCATTTGAGAGAAAAAAATATGTTAATATTATTTTGGTGAGCAGTTCTGGAGAGAAATAAAAATAGTTGTTTTTAGTTTGAAGGTGTTTTATATTCTTAATTTAATTTCAGTTGTAGGCTAATGGCACAATGCTGCCTTAGTTTGGGTTCCATTAAAATTTTAATTCATTTTTCTCACTTCTTATCAAACACACATTCTCCAATAAAATAGTATTACACGTAAATCAAAACTTTTCCTTCTTTTTTAATTATACATTCTCCAAAAAATTATTGTTCCAAAATACATTTTTCCCCAAAATCTAATTAAAATGGAGGCCAAACAAAGCCGCACACTTGTTACAAAATAATTATGGACATTGGCCGTTGATAAATTATCAAGAAAGGTTAAAAGACAAGCTCTTAAATTCAAAGAAGTTTTGGGATTGCTATATGTGTGAAAGACCTTGCTATCAAAACGAGATTTGATTACAATTGTTAAATGCATATTATTTTTCTTGTTAACTTCTCGGTGGCCAGTGATGTCACTGTTGACAAGAAGTATAGAATTTGAATGCCATTTTATTCATTAAGAAAGTACGAAATGCTTATGTAAAGAATTATTTAGTTCTTTTTTTATCTTGAGATAATTTTCATAAATAATCTTGAAGAAACTTGCCACAGAGTTTATGCTACGGTAATATATTGGGGTTAAGACTTAGACTATGTTTGGCTCATGTTTGTATACAGTTCATAAACACTCAAGTCACTTTTTATTTACACATTTTGAGGGATCCACAAGTACTACTCATTTATCCACAACTCATTTCTATCTATTTATAATTTAAATCGTTTATAAACACTTCCCAAACATGCTCTTAGTTTCTTGTTGTTTCCAAGTAAGGTGAAAGGTACTTATGAATTAATTTTCTTACGTAGAAAAAAATAATACATCTAAACATGTTTGGAAACAAACTGTTAATTAAAATTCACTTAACGTCGTCAACTTGCTTAGGACCATTGCACATGGCTCATTGGGTGGGCTTGCACGTGCAACTGAGGTTTGAGCATGAAATGGATAGTGGTTACAATGCTATAACCGATTGATCATCCAGTTATAGATTTGTGTATTAGTTTCTGTTGAGGAGCTTTAGATGGCCTTAAAATAAATCATGGCACGTTTTAAAATTAAATTCTATTGCTATCACTATGTTTACTGACATTCTGTTGTTGCCATCAGACCAGGGTCATTTGATCAGCCTGGTGGACTCTGTCCCATTGGAAAATCTCAAGATGCTGCTGTTGGTGCTCTTATTTGCATGCTGAAGAAGGCGCCCCCTCTTCGCCCGGACATCTCTATCACAACAAATTTGGTGCAGGGCTCCAAGCCCGCGACTGAAGAAATTTCTCGAGGGTCACTGTTGGGGGATTCCGATTCTTTGAATCTCTCATCCTCTGGACTTGCATCTTCCAAAACTACAGCTGATGCATCTACAGAGCTCGTGAGGTATAAGGAAATGAAAGAATTACTGCTGAAACAGGGTAAAGGAACTCAGGCATAGCCCGCTGCTATTTTTTTTTCCAGCAAAGAAAACGAGGATTTTTAGTTCCTATTACCGATATTACAATAAATAATTTGCTTGAGTCTTAGAAGTTTCTTGCAGAATGTTGTATACATTTTTAGCTGAGTTAGAATTTCGAAACAAGGCATGTCTCTAATCTAATTGGACATGTTGCAGTTTAACTTGAGGTGTGTAGTATATATACTGTTACTTTCGGCTGTGTATAGAAACTTTAAAAATTTGGCTAAATGCTATTGAAGATTCTCTATTGATGTGTAAATAATGTATTGCTTTTCACTTTTTATCATTTACTAGCTCAAATTCGAGTGTATTATTTTTGCTGGAAGTAAATTATAGAGAAAATTATTCATTTTTTGACGAAATGGAGTAATGCCATACATTTATGGTTTCCTGTGGGAATTAAATTCAAAACGCATTTTAGTGGTATCTTGACACAAGGAATGATGATAGAATCATTTTAGAGTTGAAACAAGTGGTGTAAAAATAGTCGAGCTATCTAACTTCGTCAAAGACGTCTTGACACAAGGAATGATGACATCAAAACCTTGTGAAATCTTGATGACTTGATCCAAAATCAAACATCTGAAAGAATTACTTTTGTTGTATTGGATAATTTTAATCAGTGTCGGATTCAAGAATGTTGGTGAGCTAAGTTGACCGTTGACAGCCTCAATAACGAGACTGTTTATTGCTATTTAATTTAATAATATTAAAATTTCTCCAATCAATATATAAATGCACTAAAATACAAAAATATAAAGCTTCAAATGAGGCTCTTGTGCAAGCAAGTGATGTCAACACAGTGATGTCAACGTTCTAAAGAACGAAACGTAACCATTTCTTAGACGGAAAATTCATATAAAATATTCAAACATCTCGAGTCACCAGCGAATTAGAAAAGGCAAAATCAACCCATATCATCCACCGTTAGATTATCCAATTCACATAACTCTAGGAAGCCATCAATTAGAAAATATTTTATTAAAAAAATAGTGACAATGAATGGTAGGTAAAAGGGATTCCCAAGAAAAAATATCCTTGGTGTACATAGCCCCATCCCATGTGAGGGGTATGAATACTCCTATGTACATATATTATGTACACCAAGCACACTTCCAAGAAAATCAAAGAAACCTGGTTTGTCTTTTTGCTCCCACCCCATATCTTCACCTTCGACAGAGCCTTCCTCCCATTTAACTGCTCTGCCTACTCCTCTCCCGCCATTGCCAAAAAGGGCGAGGCCCAGCTCCTCATCCAGATGTTCCGATTGAATTTAATAACTATGAATAATTTATAACGGAGAATTAATTTATTAAGTACCCTGTTTAGTTTGATGATGTGTCACATTAACTCATTAATAAACAAACTTTGCTAGATGTACATGGGGATTTTGCCAGACTTTGTACATGATGCTAGGTGTCAATATTTAGTTGGTTTGCTTTAGTTTTTGTTCCTGTCAACATCCAATCCAAATAGCTATAACGAGTCATGCTATTTGTACAACCAAATGGTTGACACACAAGTTGACAGGCTCAAGGTCCCTATGCTTCCTCATCTAGCCTATTTTATTTAGTTTCTTAAAAAGCAATTAAAAAAAAAAAAAAAAAAAAAAAAAAAAAAAATAAAATAAAGTAAAGAAGACAATATATGAAGACTTGATCCAAAATCAAACATCTGAAAGAATTACTTTTGTTGGAGTGGATAATTTAAATCAGTGGCGGATTCAAGATTGTTGGTGAGCTAAGTTGACCGTCGACAGCCTCAATAACGAGATCGTTTATTGTTATTTAATTTAATAATATTAAAATTTCTACAATCAATATATAAATGCACTAAAATACAAAAATATAAAGCTTCAAATGAGGCTCTTGTGCAAGCAAGTGATGTCAACACAGTGATGTCAACGCTCTAAAGAACGAAACGTAACCATTTCTTAGAAGGAAAATTCATATAAAATATTCAAACATCTAGAGTCACCAGCGGATTAGAAAAGGCAAAATCAACCCATATCATCCACCGTTATATTATCCAATTCACATAACTCTAGGAAGCCATTAATTAGAAAATATTTTATTAAAAAAATAGTGACAATGAATGGTCGGTAAAAGGGATTCCCAAGAAAAAATATCCTTGGTGTACATAGCCCCATCCCATGTGAGGGGTATGAATACCCCTATGTACATATATTATGTACACCAAGCACACTTCCAAGAAAATCAAAGAAACCTGGTTTGTCTTTTTGCTCCCACCCCATATCTTCACCTCCGACAGAGCCTTCCTCCCATTTAACTGCTCGGCCTACTCCTCTCCCGCCATTGCAAAAAAGGGCGAGGCCCAGCTCCTCATCCAGATGTTCCGATTGAATTTAATAACTATGAATAATTTATAACGGAGAATTAATTTATTAAGTACCCTGTTTAGTTTGATGATATGTCACATTAACTCATTAATAAACAGACTTTGCTAGATGTACAGGGGGATTTTGCCAGACTTTGTACATGATGCTAGGTGTCAATATTTAGTTGGTTTGCTTTAGTTTTTGTCCCTGTCAACATCCAATCCAAATAGTCATAACGAGTCATGCTATTTGTACAACCAAATGGTTGACACACAAGTTGACATGCACTCACAATGGGAGGATCCACTTTTTTTTTTTGGAATTTTTTAAACATTCGAATCCCGCACACATGTGAGAGGTTGTCAACCTCAGTTGTCAACCTTTTATGTACAAATAGAATTTTCCATAACCATATGTCTCCCTGACAATAATCTGGCAACGTTATTTTGTACAAGTGGCTTAACACTTGATAAACAGGCTCAAGGTCCCTATGCTTCCTCATCTAGCCTATTTTATTTAGTTTCTTAAAAAGCAAAAAAAAAAAAAAAAAAAAAAAA